AAGAGACAATTAATACATTGGAAGATGGTAAGAAAAAGTTATCCAGAGTATAGCACAGAGAAAAATTAAAAACTAAAGAGTAGATATAATTAAAGCTTAGTTTGAATCCTAGCAGGAAATGAGACAAAAAGGGCAAACAAGTGACTTTAAGAAATTGGCTGTGATATTCTGAAATAGGTGAAATACCAGATTACAGAGTTAAGATTGCTGATTCTAAGGAGGAAACAATAAAAATTAAAAGCAAAGGTTAAGTCTTAAAAGAAGCTAGTTTGACCACTGACTTTTAAAAAAATATTACATTTCTACTGATGTGGGATTCCCCTCTGTATGCTGTGAATACCATTGGTTAATAAAGGACCACTTTGGGCCTGTGCAGGGCAGAATATAGGTAGGCGGGGAAAAGCTAAGCTGAATGCTGGGAGAAAGGAAGGTGGAGTCAGAGAGAAGCCATGGAGCCACCACCAGAGAGAGAAGCACTGAAACTTTGCTGGTAGGCCATGACCTCCACAGATCAATGGAGAAGGGTTAAATTAAGATGTAATGGTTAGCCAATAAGAAGCTAGAGATAATAGGCCAAATAGTGCTTTAAATAACATGGTTTCTGTGTGATTATTTTGGGGCTAAGCTAGCTGGGTAGCCAGGAACCAACAAGTGGCTTTCTCCAACAGATTGGCGCACCAACATGGGTAACTACATCCACATAAAAACCTAAAAAGGAATCCTAGACACAAAAGAACAGAGTTAAGCGTGGTTTGGTAGCAATATTTTCTTGGCTGGGCTCTGTTTGCTAGAAGCAAGCAGAGGCATGGCTCCTTTAAGAGAGGTTTTCCTGATTCAGCCTTAGCAGAAAAAAAAAGCTGCGCACGTTTTAAAAGGCAGCTTCCTGGGCCATGCTGCCAGCATGAACTCTGGCTATGGAGCATTTGAATGGCATTTGTGGACCTGGGTGTTTGTGTGCCCACTTGGGTTTGGGAGAAAAATAGCTGAGACCATGCCCGCAGCTCAGTGCTCCCTACCTGGGAAGGTGGCGGGATCAGGTCTACTAGGTGTGCACAAGCAGGAGAGCATGCTGGATTCCCGTCACCATACACAGAGATTTCCAGGCTGCGCAGTGTTCTGCATTGCAGATTTAGCTATTACTAGATAAAAAGGGTTTATGTGCTGCACGCTCATTCTCATAGTTAAAGTGCTAAGCACAGCTACTACCTGGTGACCCCAGAGCTGGCAGTAATTGTACCTCTACCATTTCAAAAGTGGAGAGAGGCAGAGTCAGCATCCAGAGCAGCTGCAACCAAGCTGCTTACCATTTTAAAAGCTCTTCAAGACAGTAAAGAATTACAGGTAACACAATAAGGACAGATTCAGACATAAAAGAACTCTAAATGGGTCACAATGTTGGATAAATGTAGGGAGGCCTGGGAGAGAGAAGAAAAGGAGGATAGAGTTATAAAAAAAAGGTTTATTAAAAAATGAAACAAAGTCTTTAAAGAGGCAGAGTACAGACAGTCATAGATTAAAAGGAGTAAAGAAAAATAAGCCACGTAAAGATGGAGAATACACAGAGAGTCTGGATTGTGTATATTATTGTGTTTTCTTTGAATTTTTTGACTGTGAAGGAACTGTGTATAGAGAGACATTTCATTGTACAGATTGCTAAGCTAAACCAACATAAAGGTATCTTGACTTTAAAATTTGAGTCTAAGGATATGTTGCTTTGGAAAAGAGGTTCTTTTGTTTCCACAGAGGATGAAAACCTGTGGATTGCTTCCAGACTTATATGGTTTGATAGACCCACAATCCCCTGAGAGGTCACCTTAAGTACTCCCAAAATACTACTTTGTCCAACTGTTGACTGAGATGAACCTATCACACAGGATACACCATGAAAGACTTGATTAACAATGTCCCCAATTAGTAGGAATCAGTATGGAAAAAACCTCACCCATGTTTCCAAATATTGTCTATAAATATTTGTTTACATTTAAAGGGGAATATGTTATAGATATGAATAATTTGCTTTGGTATGGATGTCGGTTTATTGATACAAATTTAAGGTCATTTTTGTTATACCATATATATGTATTTCTGATCTTGATTAAGGTATTGTGTTTGTACAGCTCATTTAAAATGTAATGTATAATTAAGAAATAGAGGTTAATAGATAATCATCTATAATAGTCAGCTTGTAGTCATGTTAATTAGAGTTTCTAGATATATAGAGATATATTTCAGTTCGTTAGGTATTCTTCAACTCTTTCAGAGACCTCCAGAATATGGCATTTAAAAGTTTTCATAACTTAGGACTTTTCATGATAGTGAGACACATCTGTTCCACCACTTTAAGAGGATGATGGGCATTGAAGAGGCTCCTTATGAAGTTGGTTAGCCATTTGGGCAAGAAACTGCTCTTGCCTGAACTGCTTGACTACACATGTAGGACCCATGGAGAAATGATTGCTGAATTTGCCTAAAGGTGAGACGATCCTTTGGGGTTCCTATTTCATGAAAGAGTCTGCTAGACATTCTGCAGGACACAGAAGAAAGTGACTGACAAACTACCAATATAGGTGGGACTGTCTTTCAAATTTCCTGCTTCATGGAAAAGTCTGTTGGATACTATGAGCCTGTAGGCTGAAGATTGAATGCCCCAATGGTACAGAAGAACTTTGAGTGACTGTCTAGGCAGTGCAATGTCTCTGTCAATTCTAGAGTTTTGGAAGTTTTTTACAATGTACTTCCTGTTTACTTAGGTAGTATTATATTCTTCTGTAGTCTTTGATGGAGTTGAAGAATTTATATTTATTGTTATAGTTTGCCTTAGTTATGATAAAAGTTAAAGTAGATATAAATATTGTAACTGTAATACTTGCTTGGTAACTGTTTTTCATATGTAATTTTACTATGTTAAAGTTAAAACCTTCCTTTTTATTTAAACAGAAAAGGGGAGGTGATGTGTGAGTCCCTTTTGTGTGTTGTGATTATCATTAATGAATAAAGAAACTGCTTTGGACCTATAGCAGAGCAGAACTGTTATGTAGGGAAAACTAAGCTGAGAAAGAAGGGAGGAGTAGGAGAGACACCATGGAGCTGCCACCAGAGTCAGACATGCCAAAAATTTGCCAATATGCCACTACCACGTGACAATACACAGATTAATGAAGATGGGTTAAATTAATATGTAAAAGTTAGCCAATAAGAAGCTAGAGCTAATGGGCCAAGCAATAATTTAAATAATATGGTTTCTAATGGATTATTTCTGGGCTGAGCAGCTGGGAACTAACTAGCAGCTTCCTCCAACATTTATGGTCAGCTAGTATGTAGAAAATGAGCTAGAAGGGACAAGATCAGAAGCAGGGATATCTGCCAGAGGATGCTGCAGAGGATAGGAACAATGTTCACTCCATCCTGGGACAAGTATGGAGTCTATGGAGGGGAAGAGTAGAGAACAAAAAGGAGAGAAATTTAGAAATTCCTGTTTAGGTGATTGACATTCAGGATGAGTGATTATTAGTTTGTTTTGTGCAGCCTTAACTCAGTGTCTGACACTTAACTTAAAGAATTGAGATTATTTCTTTCAGTCCTGCATACAGGAAAGGGCATGAACCCTGTATCTATTAAAACTAATATTCCTATTCCATCTGTTTGTGCAGCTGGAGGGCTGAGACCAAGAGGCCAAGGTGGCTTTTGTGACAAGTCCCGTCAGGATACAGGAGTCTACTCCTGTGTTGATGTCATTAACCCCTTCATTGCAGCAGAGCACTCTTGACCTCACTGTGTCTTACCCTTTAGTCTGTCAACACTGTGAGGTTGGGGAATAATTTTCTAATGTAAACATTGGAAAACACATCCAAGTTAAAGCAAAGAGAAGTTGAGATGACCCCTATTTTGGCAGTATGGATGCTTAGAAGGATGGGAACTTCATAGATTTCAGGCCCATAAAATAAAAATAGGACTGAGTTCAAATTCAGATGAGTTAGATCTTTTGTGGGGATATTGTGTACACAGCCCTGTTTCTCCTGACATCTGAGTGAATGTTTCTGTCTAGGAATCCAAATGCGATGATTCTTACTAAGAACCTGGATGGAGAAGAAATGGATGATAACTTAAACTCATTTAAGCGGCAGAGACTACAGTCAGGCATGTGAAGGGTTCAGAATCTTCGTGATTGGTAGATGAAGGGGCATCTGTATGGGGAAGTCATGATTTCTTTCTTTTTTAATTTTTTTATTTTTGGTTTTCTTCTAGGATTTTATATATAAATACTGTATTTAGATAATTTCTAACCCTCTATCTGTCAAATCCAAGTCTTCCTGTGACCCACCCACAAACTATTTATGAGGAGGGCTGATTTAAGCCCCTCTAGCAGTTATTATCTATTAGTAGGGCTTGTAAGATTTTTTTCTCCATCTACATTAGCTTGTCAACTGGTGTTGTTATTGTGCAGATCTTGTAGGGGCAGCAATATTGTTGAGATTTCATAAATGTAACTTCCCTGTCACATATAGAAGACATATGTGCTGGCAATTATTTCTATCCACCTGTCTTTGACATGGAACATTACAGGTTCTTCACAAAGAAAAGCCCCAGTCTGATAAATATCTTCCACAATTAGAACACAGAGGGAGTATTGCTTCTTCTCTCTCTCTTCCCCTTCCTTCTGGTGCTGCCCCTCAGTCAAGTCCCTGGCTCGCATCAGGATTTGTATCAGGGCTTTCTGTCTCATTCTGAGCTACTATGGCTTGGGTTTCACCTCCCAGTACCTGCTCATTCATCTTTTCAGTTAGATTCTTTTCATAACCTACCCACTGGAGACATGTTAGAAAAACAAACACTTCTGGACCAATAATAATAAATCAAACTCAGTGGCTTGGTTGGGAGCAGTTATTAGGGTAGTAGAGTTGCTCAGAAGGCAAGTAGTGATACACACACACACACACACACACACACACATAAAAAGCACACAGGTAGCTTTAGGAACAGCAATTTAGTAGTCTGTGACACACTTCTTGGTAAGGCCTAGGCAAGCCAAACTGAAAAAGTGTTCTACTTTGGACCAGTATGAGGGAACGCTGGGATGATAAGCCTGGACTTACAGTGACCAGTACCTGGACTCTTTCAGAGGAAGGGTATTCCCAACTTGCACCACTGAAGCATCTTCTTCCTACTCTCTAGGAGACAAGCACACAGAATCACCAGGGACTGAAGATGATTTCTGGGGCCCTACAGGGCCTGTCGCTATTGAGGTGATTGACAGAGAGAGGAACCTGTACAGGTGAGTAAGCTTTGCCTGGCAAAGGCTGGCTTTATCCAGTCCACTTTCCACAAGGAATCCTTATAGATAACATCCTCCTCGTCTCTACTGTGTCACCTCCTCTCCTTACCAACCAGGGAGGCAAGGCCCAGACTGGAAAAAGAAGTTTGGGCTGTTAAAGAAGTAGGGTCTTTTTCATAAAATTTTTTTGATGTGCAAAACTGAAGAGCACAAGAACTCCTGTCCAATTACTCAGCTCCAGCAACTATTTTTCCAAGTTGTTTCAACTACTCAGATTCTTTATTTGTCATCACTGTCATTCACAGCAGTGTGAGTCCAGGACATCAGGTGACTCCACCCACAAACACTTCACTATGCATCCCCTGTAGTTCAGACAGGACCTCATCTTCCTTAACCAGCACTCCATGACCACATCATCAGAGCTGATGTGAGTCCTTCTTTCCATCTAAACAGTTTGTACTAAACTTTTATCATTATCTGAAATGTGGTTTTTCTGCAGATTATTTTATTCATAGTGCAAACAGCATGCCTCACTTCATTATATTTGATTTCTCTTGTCTCTTAGATTTCCTTCAAATCCCTGTAGTCTCTGCACTCCTTTTTCACTAACAACCACTAAGAACTGAGAACATGAAGATGAATATAGCATCCCTACACTCCAAGGGTCATTTGGAGAGACTATCCACAGTTGTCTTCCATAACTTGTTACCCTCCTCTAACACTATCATAGTCACTGTCTCAGGTGGAGAAACTGTCTGTCTTAGGATTTCTATTGCTGTCATGGCAACTCTTATAAAGAAAGACATTTAGTTGTGGTGGTTTGCTTATAGTTCATAGATCAGTCCTTTATTGTCATAGCAGGAAGCATGGAAGAATGCAGGTAGACACAGTGCTGGCTGCATTTTCATCAGAAGGTAACAGGAAGTGGAGTCACTGTCACACTGAATGAAGCTTGAGAAAGAGACCTCAAAGCCTGCCCCCACAGTTACATATTTCATCCAACTAGACCACACCTACTCTAACAAGGTCACACCTCCTAATAGTGCCACATCCGACAAGCTTATGGGGGCCAATACATTCAAACTACCTGGCCCCCAAAAGTTTCTAACAATATCGTAATGCAAAATGTATTCAGTCCAACTTCAAAAGTCCCCATAGTCGATAACAGTTTCAAGTTTGCATCAAAGTCCAAGTCTCTTCCAAGACTCATGCAATCTTTTAACTGTAATCTCTTATAAAATTAAAATAAAAAGAACACATACTTCCAACATATATCACAGGATATACATTATGATTCCAAAACATAGAGAAGGAAATAAATATTAGACCAAAGCAAAACCAAAAACCAGTTGGGGAAACTCCAAAATCTGCAAACCGTGTCTGATGTCAAAATGTTCTTGAGATCTCCAATTCCTTTTAGCTTTGTTGACTGCAACATACTTTTTTCTTTTGGGCTGGTTCCACTCCCTTTAGCAGCTTTCCTATGGCTCTAATATCTGCAACATCTTTGGGTCTCCAAGGCAATCAAGCCTTCAAATTCACAGCTTCATGCAATAGTCTCTTTAGGCCTCTATTTAGTGAAACCACCGAAACCTTCCTGGCTTCATTGCCTTTCGTTAAACATGGATGCAAATTCCATAACCCATTTCTTCTATCTTTAACTCTAAAGCCAGAACCATGTGGCCAAAGTTGCCAAGTTCTGCTGCTAGAATATGGTGCTCCTGTTCAGTTACATATTCAACAGCTTTCTGTTTTTGATTATTACCTTCACTGCCTAAACTTGGCTGTCCTTGAAATTTTTCTGCAGACTAGGTACACCACAGACTCAGAGATTTGCCAGACTCTTGCTTTGGAGTGCTGGGATTAAAGGTGTGCTCCACCACATTTGGCTCTAAGCTTTTCTTTAATTCATTTTCACAAGTTAAAAACTTAGCTTGGTGAGATCCATTTATCTCCTTGGACACAGTATTTAGCTCCATCCACTTCTTAGTGTCCCTTTTCTCAATCTGTACATCTTACATTTTTATTTTCTCAGCTTTCTCCTTTTCATTATAAATCTTCATTGGAGTTACCACTAATAACCAAACAATAGAGTATATACTAGGCTGTTTTGAGAATTCCTCTGCCAATAGAAATAGCTAAACTATAAACTTTCACTTTAGCCTCAGACAAGGGCAAAAGGCAACTACTTTCTTCACCAAAATATCACAAGAATGGTTCCTAGGAAACATGCTAAAATTATTCTCATCTAAAACCACTTAAGCTAGAACCTAACAGTTCAAATAATCATTAGCACCCTTGTCTTTTATGCTCCTACTAGCATGGCCCATTAAGCAGTGTATAAAGCATTCCACATTCCTCCAAACAAAACCTTAGTCAGGCCTATCACAACAATGCCCCAGTCCCTGGTATCAACTTCTGTCTTAGTTAGGGTTTCTATTGCTATGAATAGACATTATGATCATGATGACAGCTATTATAAAGGAAAACACTTAATTGTGGTGGCTTGCTTACAGTTCAGAAGTTCAGTCCATTATCATAGTTGATAGCATTGTGGCATGCAGGCAGACATGATACTGTCTTCATCTTCATCAAAAGGCATGAGGAAGTGGTGTCACACTGAGTGAAGCCTGAAAAAGAGACCACAAAGTCCATCTACACAATGACACACTTTGTTCAACAAGACCACACCTACTCCAACAAGGCCACAACTCCTAATAGTACTACTCCCTATGAGATTATTGGGGGGCAATAATTCAAAGTACCACACTGTCATTCTTGATTTTTCTCCTAACTGACACTTATCCATCCACCAGCACCAAACAGGAAGTCTTGAGAAAAATCAAAAGAATTCCTGGTGAAGAATTCTGTCAGGGCCAAGGATTTATTATGAATAGATAGCAGATAGACTTTTATAATAGAGAAATATATACTTCAAGAACATAAACACTAAAAAATAATGATATATCTCAATGGTAAGGCTCTTGCATACTGTTCACAAGGGCCTAGTTTGATCCCCAGAACTATACACATACACACACACACGTGCACTTATTCCATCACCCCCATCATCATTACAGGAATAGATTAACTGTTCCGGGTGTGTGTTACCTGTTTGTTTACATTAGATCATTCAGTACTCACAGATTTATAATATGATGCTGTCATTATTCCTATGTACAGAAGAGGAAAGAGATTTGGGAGTTAAGGATCCATCCGGGATCCATCTACAGACAGCAGAAGAATCACAACTCAGAGCCGCCATCTGGCTGAAGTCTTCAGTGTCCCTAGCCCTGCACTGGGTCTATGTCCCACAGACAAGCAACACTGGTGTTCACTGGTGTCTGCCTCTCCCTTTTTCAGAGTTCAATTCCCTGTGTCTGGTTCCTACCACTGTCACAACATAGGACTCTGCTTTGTGGTAACAAGGGCAGTGACAATTGAGATTGGATTCTGTGCCTGGAGCCAACACCTGGAGAAGACTCGCTTACAGCACAATTACATGGTTGCTGGGCCTCTGTTTGATATCAAGGCTGAGCAGGGAACTGTGGCTGCTGTGTACCTCCCTCACTTTGTGAATTTTCGAGGTAACCAAGGGAAGCATAAAGAGTTGGGTGGTGGAAATGGAGGGGTTGAGAGGTCATATAGGACAGTGTAGGATGGTGGGTGATAAAGAAAGGTCTATGATTTCCTTAGCAGGGCAGAGCAGGTTATGAAAGTGGACACTGAGATTTTTATCATCCCTTCTTATCTAATGTATCTTCTTTGAAGCACATATCTCCCAGTCTTATGACTTTATTTCTGTTTTACCTGAAAGAAACCCCAAGCGAAAAGTGATGTCCTCAGTAGCAATATTTCCTGGTGATTATTAAATGTTCCTTACACGGTATGTTCACTGGGGGCCCAGCAGAAAACTGAGAATAAATTGAGCAATTTGAAGGCACTGTTGCAAAGTAAGACTAAGTAAATTAACAAGGAACATTTGGTATCCAAGGTCTACCAACACTAAAAGTCATTACACTCCTACAAACAGGCAGAAAATTATGTCACCAGATTCCATTTAGGAACTGGAACCACAGATGGGTGGACTCCTAAGAAAAGAAGAGGCTCATAAAATGTCCCAACCTCAGTCAACTCTAAAGATTCCTGAAGAAAATTTCTTCTTTTTTCTTATTCTTCTCTTGTACAATACATCTCTACTGCAACCTCCCCTTTCTGCACTTCACCAAGCTCTTCCTGCCCCACTTCCCCTCTCCCCTATTCCACTGTTTCTGTTTCCTTTCAGAAAAGAAGTGGACTCTGAGTGATATCATCCAAACACTGCATAACAAGATGCAATAAAACTAGGCATAAATTCTCTTATTAACTCTTAAAGAGGCAAAGTAGGAGGAAAAGGGTCATGAGATCAGACAAAAGAGACAGAGACAACCCCACTCCCACTGTTAGGAGTCCCACAAGAACACCAAGCTAAACAACCACAGCATGTGACCAAAAAGAAGATGTTTTAATAAATACAATGTTCTCAGTAAAATATCTCATAAAGAAACTCATTATTCTATTTCTGTAACCCAGAGCTTCTGAGGTTAAGGAAGATAATTTAGAATTCAAGTGCAACCTAGACTACATAGCCAGACTCTGCCTAACAAAGGAAAGAGCAAAAGCAACAAGAGAACCAGGTACTGTGCAAGTGACTAAACAGGCTGGTTTACTCTTCAAGGAACACAACAATAGGATACCATAGAGACCAGAATTCAGCTCATAATAGAGAAAGATGGTGTTTGATTATGGTGATGAATATGAAGAGTAGATCCTAAAGAGGTCTTAAGAGGGCAGATCTGCCATCTGAAGAAGTTATTAAGACTAAATCAGAAATAGACGGTTCTCCAACTGACATATGAACCATAAACAAAAATAAACAAAGCATACCTCAGATTAAAAATATTCACATTTAATGTCAAGCCCAAAAGAAGAAAACAAATGAACATGAGGAAAACAAACAGGATTCATTTGAAAAGAACTCAGAAAACAAACAAACAAACAAACAAACAAAACCCCAACAGTTACATTAAAAGAAAAACACATGCCGGGTGGTGGTGGCGCAGGCCTTTAATCCCAGCACTCGGGAGGCAGAGGCAGATGGATCTGTGGGAGTTCGAGGCCAGCCTGGTCTACAAGAGCTAGTTCCAGGACAGGCACCAAAGCTACAGAGAAACCCTGTCTCAAAAAAACAAAAAACAAAAAACAAAAAACAAACAAAAAAAAAGAAAAACACATGAGGTCTTGGGCTCCATACCGTAATACAGGAGCACTGCTACCCTGATGGTGCCTCCCCAGTGTGCCTAAGGAGGCCAGTCCATCAGGTCCACACAGAACTCCTGGTCTTTCAACAGCACTTTCCATAGTCGCCACTCAAGCTTTTCCCTCTCAGATTACCACATTTCCTTTTTCTTACCCCCAACTCTTAGATAAGAAAACTATACCATTAGAAAATTAAATATATGAGATTCTGTTAAAGTTTATAGAAGGACAATATGTGAGGAAGGACAGTCACAGGGACAAGTGAAGACACATAGCTGTGATCCCAGAGTTATGGAGGCTAGGCAAGAGTATTGTGGCTTCAAGTTATAGTTACGTTGTCAATTCCTGAATCCAAAATCCAAAAGAGAGAGAGAGAGAGAGAGAGAGAGAGAGAGAGAGAGAGAGAGAGAGAGAGAGAGAGAGAGGAAATAGAAAAGAACTTGCCAAGTCATCTTAGATGTCTCAGGGAATTTCTGGACTTAACAATGAAAGTCCTCCACATTCCCCTCAAGTCCTGAGAAGGTCATGACTAGAGTTACCCTAGCAAGAAGGGAAGTAGGAGAGGTACAGCATCTTCTGGGACTCTGTCAAAACTGACACAGCACAAAACATAGACAACTCCAGGATCTGGTGCTGGGACTGAAGCTGACATGGGGAAAGCCAGGGTTTCGAGACTCAGAACTGTCACACAGAGGACATTTTAGTGCTGTTTCATTCCCTGTAAAACTATTAGCTGGTATATTGTTATTGGAAATCCCACGCTGTATACCACTTCATTCAGGAAAAAATTTATTATCTCATTTCCTGGTGATTATTGATTCCAAAAGCATTTACCTAAGAGAAACAGAAATGCTCTCTGCTAAATGACACACTGCAACACTGTTTGTCATGGTGCAAGTTGGAAGCAAACTCAGTGCTGAAAGGATGTGAAAATGGTGAGTTGCAGAGTGGTGCCTCCATTAGCAGGGATCACATGAAGTTGTTAAGTGACATTCATCATTACAATTCTTCCCAGTGTCAACTTGCCACCCAAGTATATCACTTCAATTCATAACTTTCCACCTCATGTCTCAAAAGATTTAGTTTTGTCTCATAATGCAAATTATAATTCAATTTCAAAGGACCTCATTGTCCTTAATAATTACAACATTTTAAAAGTCTATAAAGTCTGCGTATCAAAAGAGACTCAAGGCAATGTGTTAATTATGAGTACCTATAAAAATAAAAACAAGTTACATACTTTCAAGATACATTGGCACAGGATAAACAATGTCATTCCAAAAAGAAGAATCAGATTACACCAAGAAATGGTCAGACCACAGTGAAACAAAGCTCTATCAGCATAAACACCAAAACATGCAGCTTTGTGTCCTGCTATGAAGCTCATGATGTCATTTGCTGGACACCAATGGACATGGGTAGCTTCAGCCCTGCAGTTATTTGTATGTGAAGCATATATAGCTTTTCTCTTGAGCCATCTCTGCACCCCTGACCTAAAACTTTATTTAGTGAAGCTTTGGCTTCTACAAATCCCAGGATTTCCAGTCTAACTTAGTCTTCATTTTCAATGTTTCATAAAATGAGCTCCCAGGATATCCTTGCAGGATCATTGACTCAGGCACGTTGCCTAGCTTCAGTGCTATCTGAAACTGAGCAGTATAACTCAGTGACCTACCAATCTAGGATATTTCATGTCTAAAATTTATAGGGACGACTGTCAAGTTCTGTTGACAGCTTGAGATGTTCCCACCCAATACCATTGCTTTATGATGTGCTCACCATAAAAAACACATCCTTGGGTATTTGCATTTGTGAAACAGAGAGCACCATAACTTAAGACTTTCTGCCTTTAACTGAATTTGGATCTTAAGATGTACCTACAGACTGGGATTTTGCCCTCAGGACATCTTTCTCATTGCCACTATGCAGGGCAGCTTTACATTCTGTGATGCTCTTATAGAATTATTCTGAATATTTTCTGTTTTGAAACTTTTGTCAAATTAGTCCCTTATTAAAATTCATCTTCACTCATATTCAGTACATTTACATATTGAAATTAGTTTCTGTCCAAACTGTTTAATGAATGGATCATTTCACAGTTCCCAATAGAATACTTACTCTCTACAACCTTCACTGTCTCTCTCAGCATTCTTTTCTAATCTGATTCTATCAGAATGTTCCAATAGTCTTTGCTCTCAGCATGCTAGAACCTGTCTAGTCTTAACTACAAAACTCTTCTACATTCCAGGGACAAGACAATTCCAAAGGCTTAAAAACCACACGATGAGGGTTTTTTTAAAAAACAGCAACAACTTAACTCCTAGTATCAATTTTATATTCAGTTTAATTTCCTTGTAGTTCAAACAAAATACCTGACCAAGAAACTTAGGAGAGAAAGGATTTATTTTCCTCACAGTCCAAAGGAACCATTCGTCATGACATGGGAGTCTGAGAACACAGATCTTGTGGCACCTGATAAACCTGTGTCAACAGAGCAAGCAAAGAAGAGTGAATACTCATGTGACCTTCTCTATTTTATACAGCGCTGTGTCCTAGTGCATAAAATTATGCTATACACAGTGGATGGGACTCAATGGAGCCAATCAACATAATCTCCTCCTATCATGCTCTAAGACCTGCATCCAAGCTGATTCTAGATTTCATCAAGATCACATTTGATATTAACCATTCCAGTAATCTAATAATCCTGTCTTCAGTGTCTCTTTCAAAACAGCAAACTCCATCCAGCAACTAAGAGTTTAGAGGACACTGCCAATCCCAAGACACTGAGGCTAGTGAGGGCAGGATCTTAGAGGAGTTGCTGGGTGTTCAGTTTCTGACCACCTGGGAGGTTGTATTCTTTATAGCATCCATTAATAAGATCATCAAGAACCTCCAGTCTACTGTGAATGATCCTCAGCAGCTATCCAAGACCAAAGCCAATGATGCTCCAATGAGAGTCAGTTTGTATGAGTCACCACTGGCAGCAGGTCACATTCATCCTCCTGGAATGATGAACTGATAGTGAAGAAGCAGTTGATAGCTCTGCTGTGCATCACTGGACCATTAATTAATAAAATTAAATTTTGGTCATAAGTTTTTCTCATAAATATTAAAAAATAAATGAAAACAAAATATAAATCATAATAACCAAAGCAACTTATAGAAGAAAAAAACTTTATTGGGGCTTACAGTTTCAGAGACTGACTTCATAATGGCAGGAAACATGGCAGAAAACAGGCACGCATGGTGCTGAGACAGTAGCTGAGAGCTTACATCCTTATCAGCAAGTAGGAAAAAAAATTAATAAAGGTATGAGCATTTGAATCCACAAAACCCACCAGTGACAAAGCTCCTCCAATAAGATCACACTTCCTAATCCTTTTCAAATACTTCCACCAAATATAGGGGCCCATTTCATTCAAATTACCACTGTCATTCTAAATCCTAGGGTGCTGTTTTTTCAGCCAAGCATACATTAATGGAAATACTAAATTTATATCTCTTGAATATGTTCTTTCACAGAGGGACAGGTGGACATCTCCTTGTTCCATGTGGCCCACTTTCAAGAACAGGGGATGGTCCTAGAAACTGCAGCCAGAGTGGAACAGCATTATGCAGTGCTGGAAAACCCAAGCTTCTCCCCAAGGGGAGTTTTACTGAGAATGATTCCTGCTGCCAGACATTTCATCCCCATCACTTCCATCACATTGATCTACTATCACCTCCATCTCAACGATGTGACATTTCACCTTTACCTGGTCCCTAATGACTGCACCATTCGGAAGGTGACAATGAGGACCACAAAAGTGGTGCTGGGGTGGGCTGTCGGTAAACTTGAGATACAGATACTGAGCCCCTTGGAGAGATTCTCAACTCAGAGTTGGAATGCAGTTCTATAAAAGGAACCCTGGTGTGAGTCCATGTGTGTGTATGTGTGTGTGTGTGTGTGATTCTGCTCTCTTCTTGTCCTCCTCACACCAGATTCTCCCTCAAATGCCTCTGATGCCCATTTAGCAGTCCCTGAACAACCTTCTATAGCCTCTTTCCATCCATCAGAAGGGTGGGAATTATCCATAGAAGAATGATCAGTAGGTGCCACCACCCCTATCCCACAAAAATGTACTAAACAACTATCTCACCTCATTCAGATCAGATGTTGTGGCCCAGAAATCTAGATAAATTGCTATCTTCAATTTTCCTAGGCCATTGATGATGAAGAAATGAAATTCCAATTTGTTCGAATAAACAAGCCACCCCCACTAGACTCTCTTTATATTGGTTCCCGCTACATCGTCTCTGGTTCCAAGAAGCTGGAAATCATCCCAGTGGTGAGCATCCAGATTTTAATACTCCTTAGGATCAGATGCCTGACTTGAGGAAACCTGTGGGCAAGTTACAAGGCTTTGCAGCAAACTGAGAGTGGATAGACAGCAATTGGGATTTGGATGAGCAAGAATACATCAAAGTTAGTTGGAAAAGAAGCTAAGGGACCACACAGAAATACAGAAGGCCTGAAGAATTGAGGGATTAGATTCAATATGGCACAGAGGAGAGTCCAGCTAAACACAGCTCATAGAGTAAATCATGGCTTAGGCTGTGTATGTAGGACTTTCAGGATGAACTCTCACTAATCCTTGGATGTTATTGTTTGACTCTGAAATGTCTTCTAAATGTTTAAATACTTGGTCCCAAGCTAGTGGTAGCATTTTAAGAGTTTGTGGAAACAAATATGTGAGGCCTGGTTATCAGAATCATGTCCTTAGTATCAGGCCTTCAGGATGATAGCCATGCCATGCTCCGTCTCAGACTACTCATTTGTGACTCTCTGCAGTCTTTCTGCCACAATCTTCTAACACTAAGAATGGAGCCTCAGCTTATATGCACTTCCCTCTTTGAAACTGAATAACATAAACCCTTCCTTTTGTTGCTTCCTGTCAGGTTTTTGTCAGAGTGATGAGAAAAGGAGCTGCATGGTAGTCTCCCAGCTTGGTCCTTAATCTTCTGAGTAAAGATTTTTTTTCAGAAGTTGGGAATTACCTTAGTGAAAAAGATAACCAGTGTTTAATGTTGTGTGCTACATCAATAAAGTATGGGGTTATGGCAAGCCCTCCTTTATAGGATGAGTAGTAGATTCTCACAGGGCAACTCTTTATTTTTTCAGGAACTGGAGCTGTGCTATCGGAGCCCTGGAGAATCCCAGCTCTTCTCTGAGATCTATGTTGGCCACATGGGTTCAGGGATTAATCTACAAATCAGAGACAAGAAGAATCGGAAACTCATATGGGAGGCTGTGCTGAAACCAGGTAACATTTAGGTCTAGATACCCCAAATGTTGAGGAAAGGCAATGAGTTAGGAGAAGTATATTATTATTAATTTTGGGTGTCATGAAATAACCAGATTAGTTATGTGACTTTTGATAGATCCAAAGCAGGTGGTCTGACCACTGTTCAAACTATAATGCTATGTTAGTCAGCTATTGCCAGCTGTGAAAAAAAATATGTGAGAAAAACAACTTAAAATGGAAAGGTTTGTTTTGATTCATGGTCTTAGAACCAAGTTTCACTCTATGGTCAACTATCTCCATCTCTTTGAGTCTAAGATGAAACATGGTTTTAATGGAGTTAGAACTTGTGAGAAAGAAGATTGTTCACCTGGTAGCTCTGAAGCAGAGAGATCGGAAATAACTTGAGTAAGAGTGAGAGTGAAGGAAGAAAAGAGGAGAAGGGGAAGAGGAGAAAAGAAGAATGAAGTCCATGCAAGATAGTCTCTTCCAGGGCATGTGTACTGGCTGGTTTTGTATGTCAACTTGACACAAACTAGAATCATCAGATAAAGGAGCTTCAGTTGAGGAAATGCCTCAATGAGATCCAGCTGTAAGGCATTTTCTCAGCGATCTATGGGGGAGGCCAAGCCATGGTAAGTGGTGCTTTCCTGGGCTGCTGGTCCTGGGTTCTGTAAGAAGGTGGGTTGAACAAGTCATGGGAAGCAAGCCAATAAGCATCTCCTCTTCGTGGCCTCTGCATCATCTCCTGCTTCCACCTCTAGGATCTTGTCCTGTTTGAGTTCCTGTCCTGATTTCCTTCAGTGATGAACAGCAATGGTGAAGTATAATCACAAAGAACCCTTCCCTCCCTAGCTTGGTTTTTGATCATGGTATTTTTTCAAAGCAAAGAAAACTCTAAGACAGCAGGCCTCCAGTGATCTACTTCTTCCAACGTACACTCTTACATAGTTTGCCTTCTCAGTACTTACACAATTATGAGTGCATTAGTGTATGATATCATTTATAAATTTACAGCCCTCATGATTAGTCACCTGGTCATTAATAATGCAGGAATAACCATTCAACAGATTAACATTTTCATGGAACACATCGTGTCCAAGCCACCACATACTATAAGACCCATTTTCTCAATCCTGCCACCTGATTTCTACCCTACTACCCTACAAAAGACAGATTTTGAGATACACAAAGCATCTGGAACCAGTTCACATAATAACAGCTTAAAATGAAGGGATTTTGTTATCATGAAAAAAATCAATCCCAAATCCATACATAAATTTTTAAATTTTGTTTTTTATAATTTTATACATGCATATAATGCATTCTAGTCACTAGGTTAGTCATTCTAGTCAACTCCTCATTACTCATGCTAGTCCCTCTTCTTTATTACAAATCTCTTTCCTACATTCATAAAATTTTGCTTTGTGTCTCACAGAGTTTAACTGGGACCATCTATGTGACCCTGGATTTTGAACTACTCAGTAGAACCTAGTGAGCTCACCAGTGGGGATACAAATGAATTGTATACCTCCATTGTCTCCATTATAATAATAATAATTTATTATTTGCTAGTAGTTTTGCAGTAAGTGTTACTGTCCCTGTGAGCTGCTTTCTCATGTATAGCTTACTGATGGGGCAGGCCCTACTTGTGTGGTCCAGAGACAGTAGGTAAAGGTGCTATGAGTTGATGATGGCCATGATCATGGCAGGCTTAGAAGAAAGCACTTCACAGCCCTTCTCCATATCGTCTGTTGCTACATTCTTTCCACTTCCTCTTCCATAATGTTTCTAGAGCCTCAAGTGTGTGGTATAAATATCTACTTAAGGGATGTGTACTCAACCATCCCTTATTCTCAGCATTGTGCACAGCTTTAGATATCTGAATTAACTTCCATTCCCAGCAAAGGGAGGCTTTACTGAGGAAGGCTGAAAGTAGCCTTTGTTTATGATATAAACATTGATATTTTGAAAGGTATTGATACTATGTCCATTTAACTAAGCAGCAATAGTGCTTCTCTCAAAGGCCTAAAATCTCTACAGATGAATGAGATTTTGTTTTTACTATCTTTGTATTGCTAGGAATATATTCTATCTTTGCAGTAGGGCTGAAATGTAATAAGGGAACTACTGGGTGCTCCCATCACAGTTACTATTGCACTGTATTGGACAGTTACTATATGCCACTATTGCATCAATGAGACTATCTTGTCTGGCAGGTTAGCTGCTTTCTTCCTCAACAGCCTATATAACATTATCTGGCACTATAAACACTTAGCATCAAAAGGAAGATTCCAACTCAGTTCCAGCTTGAATGTCATAGATCCATAATATGTGGTATCTTCAGCAGTAAGGTCTTATCCACTAGTTCTGATGAGGAGACAAGAAGAATGAAATGCATCTGTATTGTCTGGGAAACTCCCAGGGATTCCCTGCCCAATGGATTTTATGGAGCTATCTGATACCTGGAACTGGGTTTTGTTTTTGTGTAACATGAGGGCCAGGCTGCTTTTTGTCGGGGTTTTGACAGAATACAGAATTGTCCTACACCAGTTTTGAAACTCATTACTTCTAAAACCTCCCATTTCAAGCCTCATAGGGTGCCTTACATTTGAACTCTTTTATAGTTTTTATATTGGGTTACCAAATAATAGGTTTCATTGTGAATTTTAAATGCTGTCTTCATTTTTAGTAATCCATCACCTCTACCCACTATCACCTCTACCCCAATCCCTCTTGTCATTTGAATATTTCTGTCTTCGGCATTTTCTCTCCATCATGATTTTACCAATATGCTACTGTCCTCCTTTCCTTCCTAAGGCCCTCTTCCTTTCTAGTTTTCTGATTTCCAAGGGTTCACCAAGTTAAATGCACAGAACTCAAGATTCCAGGATAGAAACTGCATGTGGGAAATATGATTTTCCTTCTAGGCCTGGCTTATCTTCCTCAATATTTTTCCTATTGTATATACTTACCTTTCACAATGTCATTTTCTTCATACCTGAATAAAATTCCGTGGAATATATGTGCCACACTTTCATTACCTAATTGTTGATGGACATCTAGGCTTGTTTCATTTACTAGCTATTGTGACCAGAACTTTAATAAGCATGGTTATGCAAATGTCTCCTTAGTAGAATGTATATTCCTTTCAACATATTACAGGGAGTGGTATGGTTAGGTTATATGGTAGTTCTTTTACTAGTTTTTATGAAGTCTCCAGATTGATTTCCACAGTGACTGCAATAAGTTTGCATTTCCACAGGCAGTGTATAAGTGTTCCTCTGACCTTATATACTAGTCAGAACTTATATACTGAACCATGCAGCTTGTCCAAGAGAAGGTTCACTGATTTTATCTGTCTCTAGTGTTTCCACATGTATTTCGGCATTTTTTCTCATTTTATTTGTGAATAATGTCCACAGCATCTTGACTGGGACTGCATTGAGTATGTAGCATGTTTTAATGAGGTGGCTATTTTCACAATATTAATTCTTCCAAACAATGAGCATGGCAGGAATATCTGTGCACCTTCTAAGGCCTTCCTCAATTGTTTTCTTTGATATTTATCTTAAAATTTTTCTTATAGAGTCTTTTCATTTCAGTGGTTATGTTATCTGTCCAGATTTTGGTTTTTATTTGTCTATTATAGAGTCATTCATATTTTCAACTTGACATGGACAAGAGAAAGCAAATAATGAAACTTCTTGAATGAAGTACCAATATGTTTTATGTCTAGCACCCACAATTCCAAAAGCAAGTTCCCCTTGTCAGTATCTTTTGGGATACCCAACACTTGTCAACTATCAAACAAGGGTAGGACCTACTCCTGAGCTACTAAAAACAGGCTACACAGGCGGCCAAAGAATAGGATCCTCTCAGCCTTGGCCTGAGTGAGCCACACGTGGAGAACTGACCTGTCCCAGAATCAGGCCAGGGTATGAATCTCATTCCAGCACTTATTCCGCAGGCAATCTTGGAAAATGACTTAACTCATTTGAGTCCGACTATCCTCACCTGTAAACTGAAGATCAGAATGAGTAACTTAAAGGGTAGCAGAAAGGTTAAATACTGTTCATATCCATCTCATAATGTGATCCTTAGCTGATGGGGGCAATATTGTTATTTTTCTTTATAGTAAGCCAACATTTTCTACATATTTTTGTCAATTCTTTTCTTTTGGGCTCATGAAGAGAATTCAGATACTGGAAGATTATAATCATGGCCCTCTCCTAAACCCAATATTACATATTTTTTGTTTTTAAATTTGTTGTCATTCAGGTATTTTCAACATTAGATTCTCCAATTTTTCCACAAGTCAGGATGCACCAAGATGGTCCAGTTAGCACAGAGTGTAAGGAATATCATCCTTCCTTTGTATAAATGGAACCAAGGCTTCCACTTCTACAAATTGAGTCTTTGGGCTGATTGCCCTAAACAGTCAGGGTGCAGTGATTTTAGGATGTCTCAAACCCTTGGGGCTTATTCAAGAGCTGAAATTTATTGACCCCCTTCACTTGTTGCTAAAATTCACTCACTATGTCCATGAGCTCAGTCTGCTTCATCTTAATTCTGTCATCAAATACAGAACAGACATTTGTGGCTTGTGAGTGTACAAGGTCAAAGAAAGACAAGAAAGTAGTTTTCTACCCAGAATTAGATGTGAAATTATTTAAGCCATTCAGCAAAGAACGTGCTTAGTTCTCCATGAGGAATTCAGTCTAGGATAAAATTGAGAATGTGATCCCACTGGAGAAATGTCTGTTGATCATCTACATGTCTTCTATCTCTATGATGATAGGCCTGGAGCCTAGATTTCTTGTGTGAGTAAGGCAATGTTCCACCTTTCAAAATTTCTGTAGTTCATTTTCAAAAGCTCAGGCTTCGGTGGGAGTTTCATGGACTGCACTGAGTGTTGGTGACAGGTATCATTATAGATGCATCATCTCTTTTTTTCTTCCAGGGGACCTCAGACCTCCACTGCCCATGATCCCTTCTGCCCACAAAGGTCAGTAACAACTATAAGAGGCTAAAGGAGTCAATAGTATTCTGTTGGTAGATAATCTGACCCTTGGGAGAAGAACAGTGAGAAAGGAGGGACCCTCACTTTGCAAACCTCACCAGGACAGATAGAAGAGATGCATGCCCAAGACAGAGTTCCTCTCAGTGTAACATGAGAAGCAGGCTTATTGTGGTTTCTGTCCTGCTCAGTTCTCACAGCCGTTTAGACCCAAAGAAATCATACCATCTCAGAGCCCTTGTTTCTTCTCATGGAGACAATAACTCTCCTCACTCACAGCCTTAGTAACCCACCAGAAGCTCTAATTCTCATCACACAAATTGACATACAATTCACTGGACTCAGGAAAGCTAAAGGTATTTTTCAGCTAACATTCCAGAGGAAGAAAGGAGTCAGGGATGCAGGTGAGATGTGTGAAAAGAGCAGGAAGTGGGCAGCCAGTTGGAGACCTGAAGGAGACTTTCTTTACTCAGTACCAGTCTCCTCTTAACCCCTAGATGTTCCTACCTTTCTACACTTCCTGGACCAGCATCGGGAGCAGCTGGTGGCCCGAGTGACATCAGTGGACCCTCTGTTGGACAAGCTGCATGGTCCAGTGCTGAGTGAAGAGGAGTATGAGGTAGTGAGGGCTGAAATCACCACCCAAGACAAGATGAGAAAACTCTTCAGCATCAGCAAGTCCTGGAGGTGGGTCTGCAAAGACCAAGTCTACCAAGCTCTAAAGGAGATACATCCTCACCTGATCATGGACCTCCTTGAGAAATCAGGCAAAATCTCTATGAGATCCTGACATTTTAGCCAATAAGGGACAAGCACACTCCTTTGAGTCCTAGCTCCATCTGATCTTCCTTTGACCCTACGTTTTTATATCTACAAACTAGTTGTCTTTATGTTGCCTTTCTGGCAGCAATGCTTCCAGGATACCTCTTAAGAATGTAGATGTTCCCTCTTGGTCTCTTCTCCAGCCACATGGTCATGTGAAATGATCATCTCAAAAACTTCCAGTGGAGCAAGAAGTCTATTCAGGCCTTATCCAGCCTGCTTTTATGGCCTGAGTGACCAACCTCATGGCTACCTGGCCCATAATTACACATGCAAGACTGGGAACTTGGGAATGAAGACAATGAGATGATGCTTTCTCTGGAAAGTGAATATCTTATGAATAGGAAAGAAAGGGGGCTTCTCAAACATTTCCCATCTTCAGTTTGGGTTTCCTTGTAGGTTCTATTTCCATTTTCAGTTCTTGAACAGTTTTATTCATTCCCTTCCACTATTTTCTTGCTTTTTCCTGGGTATTTTTAAGGGATTTATTCATTTCTTCATGCTATATTTTGTTGAATTTCTTTACCCATAAGATTTATTCATCTCCTCACACTGTGTTTTTCTGATTTTTTTAAAGCAGTTTATTAATTCTCCTATTTGAGGACCTCTACCACATTCATACAAGTTTTTAAGGTCTTTTGTGGTTTTTTTTAACTATGTTGCAATATTCAGGGCCTGCTGTGATAGGATAGATATGCTGTAGTATAGAATATACTGACCTGGCTATTATTAATTGTGTTTTTATTCTGGCATTTGGGCATCTGGAATTGAAAGATTATAGATCTAGGTGCTGAATTTTGGAACTGTTTTTGTTGGATGGGTGTTTTGTTCCTTGGTTTCTGTTTCTTTTTTGGATTTTAGGAGAATGTAATGGCTGTGTGTTGCCTGGTAGGAAATTTCCTGGAACTTATGTTTGGTCATGAGGGTTTCCAGGTAAAATGTATTTTGGCCACTGGGAGCTGAGCCTTAGGAATAGAGATAGGCTAGGGGTCTGAATCACAGGGAAAGGAAAGCAGAATGTTCAACAAGGTTCTCCTTAGAATTGGCAGAGTGAGTGAAGAAAGGTCACCCCGAAAGATTTGGTGCAACACTGGGAATTGGACCTAGAGTAACAAAAAGAGAAAATCTACAGACAGCCTACCTGCTTCCCAGGCAGGAGTAGCTTATGGGTCATCAGGGGTTGCCTGCTGGAATTGGGGGTTGGGATAAAACAACAAGTGGGGAGAGGGGGTTAGGAGAAGAATGTCTGTGGGAACTACAGGAGAAGTGTGCAGGGAGTATTTTTGATCTTGATTAAGGTATTGTGATTGTGTAGTTTACTTAAAAATGTAATGTATATAGGTTGTTAATAGATAATCATAATAGTCAAGTTTGTAGTCATGTTAGTTAACATTTTCTAAATGTACATAGATATATTTTAGATAGACATTCTTCATATTTTTCAAAGATTATAGAATATGGCATTTTAAACGTTTTAATAACTTAGGGCTTTTCATGACAACGAGACACATCTGCTCCTGGCAGTACCAATCTACTTCAAGAAGAAGATGGGCATCGAAGAAGCACCTTATGGAGTTGTTTAGCCATTTGGGCAAGAAACTGCTCTTGCCTGGACTGTTGCATAAACTGGACACAGAGAACCTGCAGAGAGGACTACTGAACTTGCCTAAAGGTGAGATGATCTTTTGGGGTTCCTGATTCATGAAAGAGTCTGTGAGACATTCTGCAGGACACAGCAGATAGTGACTGAACTGCCTTTGAAATTTCCTGTTTCATGGAAATGTCTCTGGATACTATGGGCCTGAAGGCCGAAGATGGATGCCCCAGCGGTACAAAAGAACTTTGGGTGACTGTCCAGGAAGCGAGATGTCTCTGTTATTTCTAGAGTTTTGAAGTAGCTTATTTTTTGTTTGCTTGGGTAATATTGTATCCTTCTCGAGTCTTTGATGGAGTTAAAGAATATATAGATAGTTATAGTTTTTCTTAGTTAAGATAAAAGATAAAATAGATGTAAATATTGTAACTGTAATTCTTACTTGATAACTGTTTTGTTATATGTAATTTTGCTATGTTAAAGTTAAACCCTTTTTGTTTAAACAGAAAAAGGGGAAATGATGGAGGAAGGTCATTGGCTAATAAAGAAACTACCTTGGCCCATCTGTTAGGGCAGAATTTAGATAGGTGGAGTAAACAGAACAGAATGCTGGGAGGAAGAGGAAGTGAGCTCAGAAATCATGCAGCTCCTCTCAGAGCCAGACGCAATGAAGCAAGCCACCAGGTCAGACATGCTGAATCTTTCCCGGTAAGCACACCTAGTGGTGCTACACAGATTATTAGAAATGGGCTAAATTAATACGTGAGAATTAGCCTAGAAGAGGCTAGATATAATGGGCCAGGCAGTGTTTAAAAGAATACAGCTTGTGTGTTGTTATTTTGGAGCATAAGCTAGCCAGGCGGCCAGGAGTCGGGCTGTGGAAAGAGGCCCGCAGCTCCTACAACAGAGAAATAAGACTACATCAAGTGCAGAAGTAGGTATGAGACTGAGGGATTGGGGTTGGCGGAGAGAGGAGAGTAGTAAAGGTCTTTAGTTAGCTTACCTATTTCCCTAGCCTGCTCAGCTGGTGTCTTCTTACCAGAGTATGAATGCCTGATGATTTAGAGTCTGAGATAATGGGATAAGTTTGGAGAAGGAAGGTTGTAGATCTTTGAGATTCCTTATAGATGGGGTCAGAGGGGGAAGGGAGATGACAGCAGGTGTTCTGAAACAGAGTTGGGGATGATATTAAAGGGGTGTTGACTTTTATCAAAGGCCTTTTCTGCATTTAATGATCATGTTGCTGGAGAAGGAGCTGAGAATTCTACATCTTTGATCCACAGGCATCAGGAAGTAAACTGAACTACATACAATTGCATATATATGAGACTTCAAAATCTACATCCACAGTGACATACTTTGTCCAACAAGACTATACCCACTCCATTAAAGCCATACCTCCTAATCATGCCACTCCCTTTGGGGTCATTTCCTTTCAAACTACTACAGTGATTCACCATATAAACAAACTAAAAGATAAGACAAACAAACAACAACAGAAAAAAATCTCAGGTTTATACCCAAAGTATGCTTCCTACTACAAGGTCTTTTGTTCAACCATGTTCATTGTAGCTTGAGTGTTAATAGCCTAGGACCAGAAGCAACCTAGATGTACCTCAATAGAAGAACGGATAAAGAAAATGTGGTACACTTGCACAATGAAGTAAAACTTAGTTGCTAAAGAAAAATGATAGCATGAAATTTGTAGGCAAATGGATGAAAATAGAAAAATATTATCCTCATTGAGGTAACACATATCTAAAAAATAAATATGGTATGTATTTGTTTATATGTACATATTGTTTGTTAAATAAATAATAAAAAATAAATAAATAAATAATAAAAAACTATGATTCATAGACCCAGAAAAGTTAGATATAGAGGAAGGGAGTTGGTCTAGAGAATGAGGGGAGCGACAGTTGAAAATGAGAGCATTTGATTGTACTGAAACCTAGTGCATTGGAAACTTCCTAAAATCCATGAAGGCAATTCTAATCAGGTCTCATAACAAAGGAGGAGATGGAATTCCAAATGGCCACCTCTTGTCACCAAACAAGGTTTCAGTAAAAGGACTAAGTCAGATTCAATTGAGTGGGCTAAGGGGGATTTCTCTCCACAAACTGACAGTGAGGCCCCATTATTGAGGACAAAACCCACACAACTCTTTGAACATTAACAAGTCCAGCTGGGGCCTATATAGAACCTTTAAGCTACCAAAACACAAATATAAACACCAATCCAGCCAAAAAACCTTTGACCTACAATCTGTCCTGATTATAAGATGTGCTAAGGCAACAGTGGAACAGAATTTATGAGATTAGACAACCAATGACTGATTAGATCCAAGGCCTAATCCAGGAAATGTAATCCATACCTGGCAACCAGAGACTAGATAGCCAAGAGACCTAGAGAGAGTAAAACCAAATACTACTGGTCTAAAATGACTTCTAATGATATTCTGCTATGCTCATAGATCACTGCCTTATTCAGTCACCATCAGAGAAGTTTTCTTCTGTAGCATATGGGAACAGATACAAAGATCCATGGTCAGGCATTACATAGAGAGGGTCCTTGCAATGCACAGCTTTAAATGGGGTTTCCTTGTCAAATCCCTCCCCTAAAAGCTGAGGGAACCCTGTAGAAGATGTGATGGAAGAAGTGTAAGAACCAGAGGAGATGGAGGATGCCAGGAGAACAGATCCTCTGAATCAACTGAGCAATGCTCATATGAACTCATAGAGACTGAATCAGCAGACATAGGGCCTGTGTGGGTCTGCGCAAGGTCCTCTGTGTATATATTATAGCTTTCAGTTTAGTTTTTTATGAGACTCCTGAGTGTATGAACTAGTTGCCCTTGCTTTGTGCTCTTTTCCTTCTGTTGGTTGGCCTTGTTCAAATTCAATGCGATGATTTTTATTTTATCTTATTATATTTTACTTTGTTATGTTGGGTTGTTATCTTTTAGAAGCCTGTTCATTCCTAATAAGAAACAGAAAGGGAGTGGATCCAGAGGGGAGCAGAGGACATAGGAGGAGTAGAGGGAGGGAAAATTGTAATCAAGATATATTGTGTAAAGAATATATATGAGTAAAAAAATCTACTTTCAATAAAAGAAAAAAAAAACAAACACTTAAAAAAGTTTTCCGCCTTCAAGCCTCTTTTCACAAAGAAATTTTTACATGACTCTGGGAATGTAGATATATAAAATAGTATATACATCAAATATTTCTATCAAAAATAAATCTTAAAGAAATTTATTTTAAATTACTTTTTGTTGTAATGAAATTTTACCAAAAGATACATAATTTTAACAAAAGAAGAAAGCAAATTTGCAAACTAAATTTGTATTTGATTAATTTGCATGTGGAACTGGG